TTAATCCAGTAATTGCTTCCATGGAATGTCAGACATCACCTCCAAGCACCTCTGCTTATTTGAACATGAAGAGGGATCAGGAACAACAAAGAACACCAGAACATTGCTCCACCTCTGATAAATATACACCTCCCATCAATTAATGAATATAACAGTTGTCAAGCTTTGCCTTGTAATCCTCATCTGTGGACACATCCAGGGTGAGGCCGATAACAAAATGTTGTTTTGTGTGTGTGTGTACAAGCTGTGCTCTGTGTCATACAGACATGGTATTTCTTGAAGCACAGAATATTTGATTCTCTTAGGGACCTGCTGCTGTCCATAAATTGATAAGGCCTCCATTTTTTATGTGCTCCTCAGTGCATGCATTCATTTTGGAATTGATGCCAAGATAGTTAATGATCTGTTCATTACACATTTCATATTAATGCAATAACACAACTTCATTTAAAACTAAGATTAAAAGATCTGAAAACTAGTATTATACTGCATTTCAGTACAATATTTTCCAGCAAATACTATGAAAGAATTCTAATTTTTAACTAAATTATACTTCTATAATTTTACTGCTCACATTGGGTTTAGAATTTTAAAAATTCCATACAGTAAACATTTTAAAAGAACACACAAAGGTATTTTCTCCCTTCATACTGCATCACCCTTTTGTTACTTATTTTTTTAATTTGACAGGAGTTATCTTCCAGCATATTCAAATGTATACAATGCAAACAAGACAGTTCTCAAATGTGATGCCTCAAAGTTTAAACCCTTAAAGATATAATGATGGAAACCACAAAAAATTCAGAGCTTATACTAATAAATATGTGGAGATTAAAAATGATAGGCAATTTCTTTCAAAATACTGTTATACACTACTACAAATAGAGTCCCCAGAAGGCCTTACCTGAAAAACCTTAGCATTATGCAGTACAACTATTTCCTGTCAATCTGCTTTTCTACTTTCAGCTTGCTTCATACTAATTTCTATTTTTATCTGTTTGTCTAGAATACTTTGAAATGAGAAGCCCATTTTTCTCTAGCCATTTCATGGGAAATTTCCTTTCTGGATATGAAAATCAGTAATTCCAGAGAGTTGAGCCATAATGTAAAAGAAGAAAGAGTTATTTTCAAACTGAACGCGTGATTAGTCGGTAGGGAAGATTATATACAAAAAAAGAATTAAATATTTTCTCCTAAAAACACAAACAAGCACTGTATTGCACTAACTCCAACACAATTTGTGGGGAAAAAGAATAATTATGCAGTAGGGATTAGAAATTACACATACACACGTGTATGGGAACTGCTGAATCACGGCCTGAACCTCTGATTGATCACCTGAGGTGAGCAATGAGTCAGCCATGGGAGCACAGGTGAAGGCAATTCACCTGTGCTGCTGGAAGGGGTGGAGCCTGGTTCCACCTCTCCTAGATCCATTTAAGAGCTGGCTACCAGTGAAGAAGGATCTCTTCTGGAGATCTACTCTGTTGGAGTTTTTTAAGCGAGCCCAGGATATGGGTAAGCTTTCTGTCTATTCTCTTTTCGTTATTTTAATCTGCTTTGCCAAACTCTCTTGTTTATTTTGTAATTATAACATCTTAGTATTCATTGATTATACACACGATGCAGAATCACAGTGTTGCACAATTACAGAAATATAGGTGCTAGAAGGGACCTCTGGAGATCACCTCCAGACTCGTCAACCTCCGAGTTCCCTATAGTAGGTAGCAAAGGAAAGTGACCAGATGGGTCTTGGATAACTCCAGAGAAAGAGATTCTCTGGGCTGCCTGTTCCAGTGCCTTACACACTCAAATTAAAGATGTCCCTTGTGTTTGTAGAGAACTCCCTGTGTTCCTGTTGGTTCTCCCATTACCCCTTGTTCTACTGCTGCACACCACTGAAAAGAGTCTAGCCTATTCTACTTGACTGCCACACTTTATATACTTACAAACAGGTCTCCTCTCATTCTTCTCTTATCCAGGCTGAACCATCTCAGGTCTCTCAGACTTTTCTCGTATGGGAGAAAAGGCCCCTAATAATTTTTGTGGCCTTTTGCTGAACTCTTTCTAGAAGATCTTTGTCTTTTTTGACTGAGGAGCCCAGAGCTGGACATACTTTACATGTGGCCTCACCTGGACAGATAGAGGAGAGGGATCACCTGCCTCAATCTGCTGGCTGCACTCCTTTTAATGCACCCCTGGATGCAATTAGCTTTCTTGTTCACAAGGGCACATCACCAATCTGCTGTCTATGAGTATACCTCAATCTTTCTCTATTGAGTTCTTTTCCAGCATGTCAGCCCATGACCTGTACTGGTGTATGTGGTTACTCCGCCCCAGGTGCAGGATGCTACACTTGCTCTTGCTGAAGCTTATAAGGTTCCTCTCTGCCTGTCTCTGTTTAGGTCTTGCTGAATGGCAGCACAGCCTTCTGGTATGTCAGCCACTCATCTCAGCTTTGTATTGTCAGCTAACTTGCAAAAGGTGAATTCTGACTCTTCCTTCAGCTTGTTGATGAAGATATTGAACAAGTCTGGGCCCAGTATTCACCCTTAGGGAAACACTGATAGTTGCAGGTCTCCAACTAAACTCTGCAGTGTTGATCACAAACCTCTGAGCTCTATTAGTCAGCCAGTTTTCAATCTGTATATAAATATAAAGTAATATTCATTACAAGGATGTTGCCGGATACTGTGTCAAACACCCTGATGGAAGTACGTACCCCATAAAATGAACCAAAGTCTGGTAAAAGAAGCTGCTGTTCCTTGAGCTTACAGTACAACATTCACATACCATTCTGCTTAGCTGTGGTCTGTTCATGCATTAATTATGCATAACAGTCTTACTACCATGTAATGTGCCTTTATGTCAATAACAGACAATACAGTTATAGTAATAAAAGTAAAAAGGTACTCTTTTAGAAACTATTCAGGGCTTAAACCCTTGAAGAATTGTACAGTTTTGGTCCAAGGCGTTGTGTAGTAAGATTTATCTGCAGAAGATGTAATTAGGTATGCAGAGGAAAAGTAAAACCTCAATGCTTTGGTCGTCTTGGTCTTTCTTCAATAGGAGATAGATCCTTTCTCACAAATCCCAGTTGTTATCTTATTGTTTAATTTTTAAAAGAACAGCATCAAAATATGTCCTCTTCCTTAGACAACCTGGATGAATTGTGCTCATACTCCTAGAGTTTTTTCTTTAGAATCTGTGGAAACCCAGCTTAGGCACTTGCCTCCTCCTTCTACTCATTTGAAAATCAATGAAACAATCTGGCAAAGGTTCAAGAAGATGAGCCAAGTCCTGTTTTCATTGATATGACTAAAAATACTGCTATGCACTAGGTATGTCTCTTACAGCTGCAACAATAAAAGAGCTACTCAAGAACTTCACCTAGAGCTACCAACACAAAGATGTGCTGACAAACTGAAAAAAATAAGACTGTATTTATAAAGAATATGCAAACTTGGCTTCTAGAAATCCTGAAAAATAGCTTCGTTCCTCATTTTCTTACTGGTTAAAAAAAAAAAAAAACAAAACAAACCATCAAAATGAAAAAAAAAAAAATAAACAAGCATGTCAAATTTGGGATTTTGTTCTTTAATGATGAGAACTCGCATTATCCCTATTGCTGGTGACAAAAGTTGTATAAGCAGCTGAAAAATATTCATTGAAAGGACAAGTAATGAGAAACTGTGTGTCTGACAGACTTGCAAAAAGCAACCAGTATGATGGTTTCCTTTAAGAGCACTTATGAATGCTAAGGTCTGCTGAAAAAACACACACAAAAATTAAGCTCTGCTGTTGAGCATATTTAAGGTTTTTCTAGCTGACTCTTTGGATGCCTCAAAACAATGAAAAAAAAAAAAAAGTCTTCTCTCAGCTTTACTTGTCTCTTAGTATTGATAAACCTGATTTATCTTCAACTCCACTAGAAGTAGGAATACTTTTCCAGTAAAGTCCTGCTGAGTGTTTTTGACCAATGCTCTAAAGATATGTTGGCCTGTCTTGGATTAACTCCAATGATTTCTTGCCTACTAAAGCTAGGTCTGTTCCATTGTCTCATTTCACGTGGTCTGTGTACAAATTCTCACCAGCAGGAAGCATTAGCTTGAATTCTGGCATTTGTCACAGCTGGAGGAGTCCGAACAAGTTCAAGACCTTCCCACTGGCATAAGCTGTAGAAGAGCAAGAGTCTACCAAGATACTAGGTCTACCAGTGTCTGTCTCCTTAACAGATCTTTACATTTGATGCAACAAAAGGCTTTAGTGTTCTTTTAACAGGAGAGATGTGGCTCTTCTCATTGGGGTGGCAAGCTAAAAGATTATTGAAACATGATGCATAGGTCGAAGTCATATATGTCTATTCTTCATCTCACAGCACTGACTTAGCCCATGCATTCGACTGCATGCGAATTTGGAAAACATTTTTTTCAAATGTGACAGTATTTTACCATTTTCTAAGTGAGATGAAACTAGCTGGCAGTTGAAGATGAAGATGACGGATGTCCTACAGAACTGCAACAAAGCACAGCACACTACATGTTGTCCTTAGGCCTTGTCTTATGAAATAAGTTTAACTAATAAGTACAAGGAATAGGGTTTGATGTATTCACACTTAGTTTTACGTTTGAATTCTAGATTTTGAATGTTAAGCTTTGAAAGTGGGGAACTAAGAATTCATGAAAACAAAATGCCACTTTTCTTAAAGAGACATTTGCTAATGTAGAATGTTTTTGAAAAACATCATTCTCAACAGACAGTAATGCAGAAAAAGGAAGAAAAAGAATTACATCACTACAGTGTAAAATCCTGCATCAACTATCAGACTGAGACAGATGTAGGTTCATTTGTGCACAATGTTTACGTTTTTTTCAGACACAACAAAAATATACACAGGTTACAGTAGAAGATGGTATTTGTTCTTCAGTAGAATGCACACCTGCTTTACTCAGCTTAAATTAATTTCAGACTAAGTTATTGAATACAATATAGAAGCTTACCTTGCATTTCAACATGTTGGCCACTCTCTCTTGCATTGACTGTCCAGCTTTTGGTCTTACAAGTATATAAACTGCTTTTACGTCAGGGCTGGAGCGCAGAAGCTTTTCCACCAGCACTTTGCCCATGAAACCTGTAGCTCCTGTGATAAGTACAGTCTTTCCATTGTAATAAGCTGAGACTGAAGACATGGTGCTTCCTAATTCTGTTCTTCCTTTAGCTTCCTGCAGGAGGTACCTGAGAAGATACAGAAACAAGGTTTTAAGGCTTTCCAGATTAAACCGCTAAGTCATTAAGGAACTACAGTGCAAGAACTTGTTCCAGTTTGTCAGCTATAGCAACTCATCTTAGATCAGTCAAAGGTAATTTTAAAATCAGTTTTCTTTTTCAAGATGTTGTCATGAACAGAATACACACACACAAAAGATTAATCTGGCAAATTTACAGATCTTAAGTTCAGCCTTTATATTACACTGCAGTTGCACTCAGAGTTCACAAGTTCAAACATGGCTTGTTGTGGTCAAGACTTCTAGCAGGAGATGCTTAACTACAATGTTGAAGAGCACTTACACGTTACGAAATGGAAGCCAAATATATGCACTATCCTTACAGGACAAAACAGAAACAGATCTCCTTTCAACTAATGTGAGCTCTAATGCTGTTCTTTCACTGCTACTCCACTGTGCCAATTTTTTGCCAGCCATCGCTTTCCAACATCCTCAGTTCTTTTCAGTGGTCTTGGCTTGGAATATATCCATGGTAAAAACTCTTTTTCTTGGAATATACAGCACAATTACTTGCCCTGCAAGACTGCAGAACTATGTGTAGGTCACCACTTCTTTTGTTGGATGTTAAGGCCAAAATTAATCCCATGTAACTCTAAGGAGCACAGATGTCATGTTTCTTGATAATCCACAAAGAGTTTAGGTTGCTTGAAATTACCTCTGGAGATCCTTCGCCCTTTCCACAAGGGAGCTGGCATGACTAGACTCCCACATGAAGTGTCCCAGTTAAATATTTTATTTAGATACAATATTTTCAGGCCAACATGTCCCCAGCCATTCTGAAAGCTATAAAATGACGAATGAGGCTGAAATTAGACTTGCTAGAGGAACCCTCTCTCTGTAGGGCTAACAGGTGGAACCACCCCACACATCTTTGAAGTGCTGCAGAATTGACAGCATGCCCAAGATGCTTCAATTACAAGGGAAAGGTTCACATAAAATACAAATAAATTGAAAAAATATTAAAAAATTCCTTTGAAACAAACCTACTAAACCTACAATTTTTGAAACAGAAACAAAAAGAGCTCAAGTGCTCAAAAGCCATGAAAATATCCAGCTCCCCCTCAAATCCTTTCAAATACGCAGAAACAGAAATTTATCATTTGTTGCATTTTTGCTTTCTGCTAAGATTCCTTGTTATCAACTCTTCTGCCTTTCTGAGAGAAAGGAAAACACGTAAAGACAGTAAAACAGACTAACTTATAGAACAGAATCATGAAGTCATAGAATTGTTTGGGTTGGTGGAGACCTTCAAGACAATCTAGTTCCAACCCCCCTGCTATAGGCAAGGGTACCTCCCACCAGACCAGGTTGTCGAAAGCCCCTTCCAACCTGGACTTGAACAGAACTGTCCGTAGAAGAACCCCTGCAAGGTGTACATTGTTCAGTGCAACAGCTCAGGAAGATGCTTAAATGGACTGTGATCTCAAAGGCATTATCACTCCTGACAGTGAAAAATGAATCAGAGGCTTTGGTACTTACAGTCATTATCTACTATTATTATCATCCGTTATCTGATGCATCTACCCAGATCTGACCACCCTGCCAGTATTCACAGTAACTGTACTGCTACATGGAAACACTAAGTGCGTATTTCCAATGGACTACAGTCCAGGCACATCAACGAGGGATACAAACCGCAAGATACATGTGAGAAAGATCTCAGTGCCATCAGGAACTGCAGCACTTATCATCAAACGAAACACCCAAATTTATTTTGAAAGAAATCTGTAACAAATCATCAAGTGTATCATATAATTTGAGAAAGTAGGTCAAGCAGAAAAACATCTGAAGGACACTATTTTACAAAATTAATATCTGTGAGTATTCTGGCTCTGTGAATTCAGGTATTAGCCTACTTTCAGATATGACCTACATCACAGCTTAAATGAATCTAGCAGGCTTGTCCAGGCCTATTATAAACCTGCTCTTATCTAAGACCTGGTCACTTGGGAATTTGGACAAACAGGTTAAACTATTAGATACTTAATTAATTTATAATAAAATGTCACATCTTATTCTGATTGGGGAAAACTGAGTAATGCTGTAAGACAAATTTGCAGAACCTAGAAGTGTGTGAAAGACTATGTGTTAGTTCAGCTGAATGAAGATGAAGATGAAGATGACAAAATGCTTAAGAGTACGATAGGTGCCTGGCAAAGCAGACATATTAATGGCAGAAGTCCTCAGTCACTAGAAGCCATAAGAAATCTTCTGAATATAAGGAAACATTTAGAAGCATTTAGACCATCCCCAGTTAGCAGATTCTTGATTTGAACTGACTTTCAGAAGATCACATCCCACTTAGCTTCACCTAATATTCTGCTAGACAAAAATGGTACATTTATGAATTACTCTGCATGGCAGACTTGAGGATTACCACAATATTTAGCAGTAGTTACTTTTTTCCAATCTTCAGTAGTTTAGAACATTTGCAAATTCTATTACAATATGTCACTGCTATGCATTATGATTGCAGGCTCCTGCTGAAATAGTTGCTTAGAGTTCTGAATATGAAAATAAACTTATTTTGTTGTTTCATTTGTGTTCTCTGAGTTATCCAAGTGGGGTTCTATTTGTATTGGCCAGACACTAGGTGCCTTCTAGAAGAATAATAGAAGAAAAAAAAATAACACTACTTTAAAATGTCCCTAAAATCACATCTGCAGCCAGATTTCCTTAAGTGTTTCTTGCAATCCTCTTGTAATTTAAGACCATCTCAAATGTTTCTCTTCAAAAATGCAGGAAAAAAATCTTCAAAATAATTTTGATGCGGTGGCAATGGAAGTACCAAACATCATCAAAATGCATTTCTAAAGCAATCTGCTCTTTCTCTTCATTATTGCCTAATCCTCCAGGGTTAGAAGAAAAAGTAAGAAATCATACACTTTCTGTTTTCTATAATAATAAAACAGTTGAAGTCAAGCAGCATATATTTAGCAGAGCCAGTTTCAGTGTGGGGTTAGGTTGCTCTGGGCTTCATCCACAGCAAAAAGACATGAGAAATGTCATGGTATTTGCTTATCATGGGATCAGATTTATGTATCCTCCACTTCTTTTTCTCTTTCTTCAGCTAAATTTAGAAAAAATACAATAATCTTGCACCCAGTTGACTCCATGCTATTGATCTTCAAAGAGAATTGTACATATGTTTATCTGCTTGAATCAAATTGATGTTTTGTGATCATGACAAATAAAAGGAAAAATGCTGCAAAATCACTGTGTTCAGACAGATCCCTGAATTTCCACATTCCTAACAAATTTTAAAAGGTTATTAATAGTTCCCAAATTCAAGAGCAGATTCCAGGTTATATTCAGGATATTCCATTACAGAAACTGCTACGTTTTCCTTTCAACTACGGGAATATTGTCTAATTTTATTTTTTCAGATTTTTAAAAATGTATTTTAAAAAGTGATTTCATAACGGAATTTGTTCTTTTCTAATTTAATGGATATTGTCTGGTCTTTATGAAGAAAATGCAGAAGTAACAAAAATCTTCAGAAATTTGAGGATTTTCACGTTAAAAGACGTGATTCAAGTAACGCCTGCTGAACATTTAGATATCTATTTTGAAGTACAAAGAACCGTATACATTCCTTTTTGATGAGTTTTTTTTTTTTTTTTTAATTAATCAAATAAAGAAAACCTATGTTTTCTGTAGAAGCTCAAACTTCATTTCCGGGGAAAAAAAAATAATAATTCAAAACCAAGTATTATCAATGCCCCAACCACTTAAGCAAATAGGAATTAAGCATCTGCTAAGAGAAAACTGTCATAAGACTGAACAATGATCAGGAGTTCCAGCGGGCTGAGCCCTATGGAGCTGAAGGAAGAGAAAGACTATTTCAGAGCCTGGAATTCCTATTTTTTCATAAACTGGATGGAGATGACAAAGCCACTGAAAAAAAGAAAAGCCCACACACAGACTTCCTGAAGTCCAATTCTAATGTTCAATTACAGACAACTTTTAACAGTTCAGGTGCTAATCTGGGCAGGAAAATAATCACTGGTGTGTCATGTGAATTACTGAACACAACATCTTTAAAGCAGTCCACATTTCACTGCTGCTGACTCATCTCCAATTGTATTCTGAAAAAAAGCCACCTTTTGGACATTCAGTCAGGAATCATGCCGAGCATCTCTACTGACACAAGTACAAAAGCTGCTTTAAGAGTAAAGCTCTGATACAGATGCCCGTGACTGTTCTCTCCAGATCAGACATAAAAGATAATCTACAGCACTGCATTACAAACAAAGCCATGGTCTTGTGTTAGGGGCATATGCCAAAGCACAAGTGAGCAATACAAAAAGTGGGAGTCCTACCAAACCAATACTTTGGCCCTGCAAAAGAAAACCCACACATCCTCATCAGAAGCATAAAGCAAAATTTTTTTTCCCCCAAGCAGATGAAACAGAGCTGATATTTAAGAAAACTAATACACTGTCCCCACATTCCACATACTTTGATGCCAAATCTGCATTCATCTTACAATGGTGTAATGCCAGAAGTTAGACCGTTACCAAAGCCACAGCAAAGGGAAGATGAATGCATATCTGAACCTTCCTCGCTGCTGTTACTACTACTGCCCAAAGCAGGTCCGTGACTGCAGGATGTCAACAAGAGATGGTAAAATGAAGCACAAGCAGTGAGGGATGAGTACATCAGGGCAAGTTAATGTCTCACTGCAGTTTGCACAGTTGCTAAGATTTCTATACCCTACTCAGCTGGGACAGTGGTGATTTCAAAAGCTGATCTATTGAGATATTTGCCATTTCAATTTAAGAGCACAAAACAAAAAGGAAAGAAAAAAAAGGAGAGAGATCTAGTTCAGTGCAAGCGTAAAGGACTGAAGGTGTATTAACATGTCTAGATCCACAAATGTTCTCTCTGGCATCTCTTTCTACTTAGTCTAGTCTAGATGAGTTTTCTTATACCTGATGCACTTTCACAACTTTGCCTAGGGATGTAATTTCTGTAAACAAGAGGGTCAGAATATCCATATGATTTTTTTTTAAAACATGATATAAGATATAATGAACCAGCTTTAAATACAAATGTAGACAGCAAGATTTCCTTAAGACAAAAGAAATATTTAGCCATTTCTAAATATAAATTGATAATCTTGGATGCAAATGTCCAATCACATATACGATAGTTTTCTTTAATTAGGATTCTAGTGGATTTCTGATTTCTATTCTGAAGCATGCAGAGAAATGAAGATTCTTCTGTTATTTCAGCAAACTTATACAGCTGAGGTCAGAAGCATCAGTATAAAGTGGTTACAGAATATTTCAATCTCATAAGCTTGCTTCCTCAACCTACTACTGCTTTATGAGCTTAAAATGGACTCAATACTAGCGATGTCTGAACACCGTATCTCCATGTAACTGCTTTTTTTCCCTCTCAGGAAGTGTAACAGAGATTCCACAAACTAAACGCATCATCACAATAAAACTAATTCTTTCTAATGCGGGTGCTTTGCCTTAAATCTATGTATAGCTTCTTGTTAGCTAATCATCAGCAAATAAATCATCCTAAGTGTAGTGGTTACAACCTGACCTTTTAACTTTGGTGGTCAGTGGAGGTAGATATTTGGACAACAGTTTTTTTCCAACATTAATGCATACACAAAAATTGCATGAAGCAAATCAATACAGTTCAAGGAGTGTGTGTGCACAGAAGCAACAGAAATAATAATGAGTTGAACATCTGCACACCAAGTCCTACAGAGCAAAGTCCTATCTGAAACAAGGCATCATTCCAACCTATTGATTCCTCCAGTAACAGTCTTCATAAAAGCATAACTAGATAAACATGAGAGCCTATACTAATGATTTCATAATACAGTATATACCTATCTGTTTTCAAAACTAAAGATAGCATAATCAAATGATCTTTCCATAATGAAACATGAAAGACAAGTACCAGAGTTTCATTTGCACATCTTTAACCTCACTGGTGCACCGAAACTCATTAGGATAAACAAATTTTTTTTTTTTTAATTTCTTGCTTCTCTCACTCCTCTCTATTGCCCATGCTTACAGCATTTGATGGCACCTTGCAATCCACCAGACAAGAGAACTGGTCCTGTTTATTCCGTCCAGCTACTGAAATCAGACAGAAAGCATCTGTTCCTCTTATACACAAAACTCTCCTGTCAAGTGAAGGTTCTCAGGCAGCAAGGCAGGATCAGGACCTTTGAGAACATGAAAAAAACACAACCAAAGGAGTCCATAAAGTTTACACCCCTCAATGCACAGCATTAAGCTGGCAAGCCAGAAAACTGGTGTTCAGTGACAAGCTTTGCAGCAGATCCTGCCTCAGCACGGGAGGAGAAATTGTGGAACTGTCTGAATCACAGCTACAGTGCAAGACACCTTTGCTGCCACAGTCCTGGGCACTAAAACAACCTCAGACAGACAGCATACATGCCCATACTGAGGCAGCTACTTCAGCAGAGCTGCAACTGTTTCCAGGCAAGGCAGGATGCTGCTGTTATTTTCATGGAAGAAATGCTACTAGCTGACAAGCATCTTATTTTCCCTATAGAAACACACAGAACCCAAAGCAAGGACAAACTAGCCAGCCTTTCACTCGTGTGCAGTGTGAGAAGGGCAGAGGAGACACCAGAATGGAGCTTGCCTGCTTCTGGAGAGAGAGTGAGGAAAGGCAACAGAAAGATAATGTAGAATGTAAAACACACCAATATTCTGTTACACGTTGTTGCTGTGCAACAGATGGCAGCGGGGGGGCTGTCTGACAAAATCGAATCTGACATGGAAGTGCATATGAAAAAAAGGTGTGGAACTGAATTCTTCCATGGAGAAAAAATGGCATCCACAGACATTCAGTGATGCTTGCTGAATGTTTACAGGGACCAAGCAGTTGATGTGAGCACAATTAGGTGGTGGGAGGTGAATTTCTGCAGTGGTAACAACAAAAATGAGTCACTTTCACTGGTGCAGATTTTTATGAAAGCAGCAAGCAGGCTTTTGTTCACTGTCAGCAAAAATGCATAGTCACTGGTGGTGACTATGTTGAAAAATAGTGTTTTGTAGCTGAGAATATGCTCTATCAAACAGTGTTATTGTGCTCTTTGCAGCTGTTGTCATTTCCATGGAAATAAACAGGAGACGTTACCTTCAGAACAATGTATGTAACACAGCTTTCATCAAAATAATTGCTGTGATACTATAATTTCATTAGTATCATATGCATATGTAAATAAGAATTTTTTAAAAAAGGAAAAGAAATAAAGAAAAAGTGATCTGTTTCCATCTGAAGATTTTTTGCGCTTATCTACAGTTATTTTACTTTTTTTTACCATACAGTTGTTCATTTCATATACTATTCAAAATATGGATTCCAGGAAGGCACTGATAATGACACATTGAAGAAATCAAACTAAAAGATCAAAATATTTTGCAAACCAGATTTTCTCACAGACTGTAAGGCAAATGCACTCCTTAAATTTAATGACCTGGTTTCTGTAAAAGATCAGCAGTGCGTTCTGTAGATTTCTCTCCCCACAGTTCTTGAAGAATCACAAACATTTACTCTTCAGATAAAGGAGAAAGTGCAGGAAGTGAAAACTAAAGAGAATCCCTTGGAGTTACTAAAAGCTGCATTAAGGAGCTCTGCTCAGAACATCAGAAACTGAATAATGAGGCAGCAGAGAGCTCTAGAGTGCCACGAGGCTTTCAAATACATTTCTTCAAAATGAAGACAAGAAAATGCAATGAGATGATGTTTTTTGGTTAGCATATACGGTCACGGAGAAATTTTTTTCTTCTTTTCCATATACAGGGACTGACTTCTACGCTCCTGTTCTCCAACATTTAGATGAGAAGCTGATGAGAGATGACAAGGCACATTTAGAAAAGTTCAAGAAATTCAGTACTGAATAAAACATAAGGACATAAGGACAATGGTCAGTCTGCACTTAGACATCTTAGACTTCCTCTGTGCTTTGAATACCTACATGGTGGAAGTCAAGTGGATAGGGCCAGGCTCTTTTCGGTAGTGCCCAGTGACAGGACAAGAGACAATAGGCACAAACTGTATCACAAGAAGTTTCATCTGAACATGAGAGAAAAAAATATTTACTTTGAGGGTGACAGAACACTGGAACAAGCTGCCCAGAGAGGTTGTGCAGTCTTCTCTGGAAGAATTCAAAATCCGCCTGGACACTTTCAGAAACTGTGCAAGGCACTCTAGGGAATCTGCCTCAGCAGGAGGTTGGACAAGCTGATCTCCAGAGGTCTCTTTCAACTCCTCTGATTCTGTGAAATGCAATGGAAAATAATTAATTCAAGGATAATATGGTTCCAGATCTTCTAAATGTTCAAGAACATTTTAAGCTTATTTTAAAAACACTTGAAGAAACCTGTTGCAATCAGTACCAGGTTTGATTTAGTGTATGTACTTTCCTGCATCACAAGACACCTTTTGCTCCTTAAGCTCTCCATTCGAAATTCATATCCTCCTGCTCTAAATAAAATTTATTCTTTTGTTTTGTTATCTTTTCAATGGCTAACAGTTAGAATCTTATTTATCTGATAAAAAAATACATGTGGAAAACTACATCTATGTGTTAACTTCCCATGGCACATGAGATTCATATCCCTGTGGAAAAGTAGAGCCAGCCTCAGGCTCATCAGGAGTCCTCATCCCTCAAGCAGGAAAGTGCTTGCAATCAAGGTTTCTAGGTTCCTGAGCTAATTAACGTTCCTCTGTCCTGACTACACCACTCTAAGCTGTGAACATTATACTAGTAAATCTTTGTGTGGTACAGAGAGTTACAGGAATACATGAACGAAGACACGCACCATATTTCAGATGAAGTCAGACATGCTCCTAGATTTTTTTCTGCAATGCCTCATCTACCTATGTGCTCGGCCTTAGAGCTTCCATCCCAAAGCAGCAGCTTTCCCTCAGCACTCTTCTCCTAACATAGATGTAGCTAATCATGTTTTAGAAAGCTAGCAAGAAAACATACCAGAGTTGCAAAATCTCAAAATAACTGGAATTCACAAATTCCTTGCATTTCGAAAATATAAAATGCTGCAGTAGATGCTGTGCTACTGCGCACAAGTGATCTCAAGCTTACATAAGTACAACACAAGCTTACAACAAGTACAGAGTGTTGGTGACTTCTTCATTTCTTTTTGTTTTAGGAACTTTTTCCTCTCTTATAAAGATCAGAAATTATGTTCCAAGGTAAAATAGTTCCAAGATAAAATAGACTATCGAAGCATTAACATTTGATCAAATATCTCAAAAGAAACAGTGTGCCACTAAGGAGCATTCTAAATGGAAGGATTTATCCATATAATTCAAGAAAAAAAAATGAATTACGATTCATTTCCTATTTATAGAATTTCTTATTGTATTTTCCAGGAAATTATGCACTTTTTGACTTTTATATAGCGATGTGATCTTGGAGACAAAGCTGGCAGGTTATAAATGTCAAGTAAGCTTTAGTAATTCAGAAACTGAAATGTGATGTACTTGTTATAGTTTCATTGCATTAAAACACCCACAGCAGGCTCATCCTATATTACATCTCTCTATCTCACGTACTTTAATTTTGAGATTCAGAACATGCTCAACAGACTTTTGTTAATTAATTTGTACCAAGAAAAACACAAAAAACCTGTATTTTAAGTCAGTTCTATTAGGCTCCAGATCTTCAGTATGCACTTAAGTTCCACGCAGGCTCTGTCCTCAGCTCAAAACACATAAATGCTGAAAAAAATTACTTTCTGCAACAACTTCTCTTAATAACATACCATAAAGAGGCTACCATCATCAAGGCATTTCACATATAAGTTGAGAGACTGAAAAGACTGAATGCAATCTGGTAATATTTTGTACTCAAAACTAAAGTAGCACAAAAAAACATTTCTAAAGAGTGGATGACCCGCTTTTTACAAATCAGTCAGGCTTTCTTCAGTGGGTTTTTGTTTGTTTGTTTTTAAGAAGTTTAGAAAGCTCCAGGATCCAAATTCATGTTAGAACACCAGGATTTACAAGGACTGAGGGAAATTAAGTATTTCACAGAACAAACAGACCATCATCAGAAATTATGAAAATGAAAACTGGTAAGAGAAAACTGAACTAAAAGACAAATGATGAACTGGAAGAGAAAACAAATAAAAACACTTTTGCAGTGCCACTCCTCCAGCTGGCTGCGGGATGGAGAGTGACAAACTCTTGACAGTTACCCAGGTGTCAACAGCTCCACAAAAGGTATTAGAGCCACTAACCTCTACACAGCACAGAGATGATCTCTGGTCATATCTGACCTCTTAGATCAATTTTACATCATAGGAATTATTATTTTTTTTAATAGCAAATTGATTCTTTTAAATTTGCAAGACATGAAGTTTAACCGTGAAGCATATTTTGAGCCCATTATAAACCCTAATTGCAACATTTTTCAGTTCTAACCAAAGACAAAAACAACCAACACACTACTTTTCACGGGAGAAAATAATCACTAATCTTCTTGAATTCCTGGTATCATGCCACAGCTGAATGCAGAGATTTTGGCAACAGCTTCAGGACTAATTTATTTTTTAGAAAAAAAACTTGCCCTTTCAACTTTTTCAGGCCAGACTCTTGTGGCTCAAGTTGTGAGTTGAACTCGTTTACAAAGCACCTTGACAAAGATCTGTGCTAACACCACTGAGGGTGATGTTAGACAGCAATTGGATGGAGAAGCAGAGGCAAAAAGCAAGGCGGGAAAAGCAAGAATTTGCTTATCCTATATTACTGCCAAATCCTTTCCACTGAATCTCCAGCATCTTGGCAGGACCATTTCATCTACCTTTTTTTTATTGAGATACCCCCCATTTCAGAATTTAGCAGTTCTAGCAGTAACAAGCAACTTTCCCTGGTATTTGCATTAAGTCTCAAATCAAGAATTTCAAGCCATCTCGCAGTCTCCCTGTGGCTGCTTTGCCAATGCTCTGAAATTCCTTTTCAAAGCCATCCTTTTCTTTCTCCTTTCTTATACTTCAGTCCAACCTGCAGTGTTGTCTTCTGAACTGGGAAGCTTATAATAGGAACAGATCCTCCATGGCCACCAAGGAAGAAGGAATAACTCAAAAACCCTAGTAGTCACCATCAGCCTTAACTTGCCACTTCTTTGAGACAGACTCAGCAGAGGAGATGAAAACAGAAGTAACAGCGGAGGATCACTAGGAGGGAACATCTCAGTCCATCAAGGAATAGAAGGTCTGGCATCACATACTGAGGAAGTATGTAGAAAAATGGCTTACCTGGAAAAAAAAAAATAATCAGGAGAAGCTTATCTACATGCAATTAGTCAAGTCAGGAAAGTCAGCCAAACTCTCCAGCAACATGGGGAAATATCAGAGAACTGAGACCAGCCAATCTCTCCTCTTATTTGCCATAACGTTTGCAGGAAGCAGAAAAGCCATTACTTACTATGAATTGAAATGTCTCCAAGACGCATTGGACACACTCAATCAGAGCATACCATATAATGGGAGAACTGCAACAGCTACAGACAAGTCAACATAACAGCCAGGATGAGGCAACATGACTGATTTTTTATTTGACAGCCCTTTCTAGAAGGTATACCCTATTCTTTGCATGACAGGTTTAACATTTTTTGTTAATTTGCAAACGAATGGAAAGATTAGTCATTTATCAGAAAACAATATTATATTTCAAGTTTCTGTCTACAAGCAGAACTGCTATGCACAGAACACAATCTATTAAGACAATTTAGTTCTCTTTTCCTAATGCCTAAGAAAAAGAGCCCCTTTATTCCAGAGTTCAATATATCATCATTTTCACTGAAATAACCTAATACAATGCTTTCATGTTCTTATCCATGAAGACTTTCCATATCAAGCAGAAGAGATTTCAGGCTGCAGTTCCTTTCTGTTCTCCATCTTAATGCAAAACCAATCAGCCCAGTAACAAAACCAAGAACAGTGCAAACCCAGATGGAAGAAAGGCATGAACAACCTCAAAAAAGACAAATGGCCAAGTCTTTACTCAGGATCTTCTGTTTGTGCTACTCAGTGGTGCAGAGCAGGATGATGTTGCTCAGAGATCAAGGAAGGGGTCATGCTTCCTATGGGGTACTCTAAACTTGGCTGGACATTGGTCTACTGTATATTGAAGGACAAATTCTAATCTACAGGCAGTTCATTGTTAAGCATCCATCATAACATCTCATGTTAGGAATCATTTTAGTCCATAGGCTAAAGAAAATAATAATCAAATGCCAATTTGATATATTTGCAATACGATACCAGGAGTAAGCCAGGAGTAATTGTTTTCTGTTATTGTGACTCATAGAGCACGTGTTTTAGAGACCGCCAATGAAGAGGGAAATTCATACAAGCTACTTTGAAGGCCTCTTCTCTATCAAAATTATAAAAATGTCATTCCAACGAAGTACTACCCCAAATTAATAAATATTCCTTTCACAGGAGTATTAATTGCAGGGTGACAGCTGATGGCTGAATGGAACGCACACACTCCAGTGGAGATCCTTACAACTTACCCAAATTAAATCTGAACTTTATAGTGCTGCATAAATGCTCTGCTTCTCTCTTTAGAAAACCCAATCTCAGTAAGCTTTAGCGAACTGTTTCACATTTCTTCTTCTATCTACACACACAGCTTCCTCAGCTTTTTATATATCAAACGCAAATACTACAACATGTCATAACACAGATGAAACAATAACTTTTCTGAAGCTACATTTACTTCAGAAAGCCAGTTTGGAGATGACTTGTTATTTTTACTCATTTTTTTGCCATAGTTTACCAACATATTTTTGCTTATTTTATGTAAATAATTAAGCTTTTTTCCCCCCAGCAAAAATTCTGAAACGATGTTTTTCTTGGAGTCATGGTCATTTAGAATCAACTGAGATTATCTGGTTATATCTTGTATATTTTGACATTGTTCTGCAACCACTTTTATTGCCATGATGCTAAATGACAGCTACAGCTTAAGCACTTTGCACTTCCATTACCACTGTCACTTGGGTCTCTCGATAGACTGTATCTCCTAAGAGACACACACTCATGCTAATAATCCTGGTAAATGCTGGGACTTCAACTCTGCTAGATTTCTTTTGATGCACAGGAAGAGACATTAGTGTGATTAACTAGGACAGAAGTGCTCAGGCACTGACCCCAGCTCACAGCAAGGGCAATTCTGAACTGTCCTTCTCAGCGCTCACCAAAAGCACTGGAAGATGATTTCACAATGTCAAATTTGTCTTTTAAAA